GGGGGGGGGGGGCACTGTGTGTCTGACGCACTAATTCTTGACTTTTCTAATCGTTCACTTTTTAAGAAAACCCCATAGAGAATTATACACTTCCCATACCATTGCGAAATAATTGCACAACGCGTTGCTGAGTTGGCTTAGAAGTAGGAAACAGAGTTTTCTTCACAGTAGGGTGAAATGGTGAGAATTAGCGGCAAAACGTTGGAACGTTTGTTATAGAAAATTCTGTCGTAGATTATAGATTTAACGTTCCTTTCAACACTGTAAGGTTATCATAGTATATGAGTAGGCGGGACCTCCAAAAGCAACGCCCATTGCTTTAAAAACTCCACAAAACATTCCAAATTCTCTGGGAATTTGAACCAAAACCATCCCCTCTATAGTCCAGCTGCATACCAACAGAACCAAAGGAGTACATCAAACCATAAGAAGGGAAAATGTTGGGGGGGGGTAGTGTTTGTTTGTTTTTTGTTGTCTTTTTTTTTGTTGTTGTTGTTGCTTGTTTCTTTCTTTTTTTGTTTCAGTGTTACTTTGTGGACAATCACTAAAGACAGTGAAAATAAAATAGAAGCAACAGAAATGTGGTTTCTTATGAGACTGCTAAGAGTATCGTGGAAGGAAAAGAAATCAAATGAGGTAGTGCTTGATGAAGCCCACGTGGGACACTCAATGTTAAAAACAATCAGGAAACGACAAATGCAGTTTTTGGGACACCTGAATAGACATAAGGGTCTTGAACATCAAGCTCTCACTGGCAAAACTGAGGGCAAGCGAGGCAGGGGTAGGCCCAGAACAACACACTTAGGGAATCTAAACAAATGGGTAACAGGGAAAGATCAGGGAAACGTAGCTTTTCTGAGAGCATTCGAGCAAAGGAATGAATGGAAAATCATGATCGCCGATGTCTGTCGCAGATCTGGCACTGGATGATGATGATGGTGTTACTTTGTTTCTTTCTTTTTTTGTTTGGTTTGCTGTTGTTTGTTTCTTGTTTTTGTTGGAGGGTTGTTTGTTTGTTTGTTTCTTTCTTTTTTCTTTGTTTAGTTTGTTGTTGTTGTTTGCCTGTTGTTATTTTTGTTTTTGTTTGGTTTTGTTTTGGGGTTGTTGTTGGGAGGTTTTTGGGGGGGGGGGGGGGGGGGGGGTTGAGGAGAGGTAGAAATATTAATATGTGAGGCAGCGTGGTGGAATCAAGCTCTCGTCAAAATAATCAAAGTGAAGAAACCTGCATTTTTCCGCAGGTTTGTGAATTTTATCACTTTTTTTTTCGGCTTTCATGGCCATAAAAGAATTCATTTCTGTGGGGATTTTTCTGAAAAACTTTGATTAAAGGCACAAAAAAATGTAAATTTTCAGTTAAAACAGGCTCTTAAGCTAAGGAAATAACTAATCTTTGGCGGCCATTTTCTCACTAATTTTACCTCTGAAAACAGGTGACCTCCACCTCTCTCAATTGCAAATATCTCGACTTGTATTCAAGATAAATGGATACTTTTTTCATCCAAATAAAGACAGGTGAACAAGCTTTAAGATGATACCAATAACTCTACATGCCCAAAAATTGACGAGAGCCTGATTCCACCACGCTGCTTCACATAACTTGTCAATTATTCTGGGTGTAATGCTATAGTTATGACGTGCCGTGCCTAGTTTGTAAAAGAAAACAAAAGAAACTAGGACAATGACCGGTACAGAAAAGAGACATGTTCACCCCGACCGCTTTGTTTATCAGAATGTTAGTTATGTGGGCTTGTGAAACTCCCCACATTACGAGTGGCTAGAACAAAGAGAGTGCTCGCCTTTTGCTGGAGGCAGTCGTTGGTTTACAATTGGTTAATTGTTCATAATTGATAATCAGTGACTGGGAACGCAGTCATTATATTATGTGGTCGTAAAGCCTCAAAACGAGTACGTGTAGGTTTAGTTTAATGAGTTTTAGTACAAGTTTTATAATATATAAGAAAATGTTTATATGTGAGGCAGCGTGGTGGAATCAGGCTCTCGTCAAAATAATCAAAGTGAAGAAACTTGCATTTTTCCGCAGGTTTGTGAATTTTTATCAAATTTTTGTTTTTTGGCTCAACACCTTTCATGCCCATTAAAGAATTCATTTCTGTGTGGATTTTTCTGAAAAACGTTGATTAAAGGCACAAAAAATGTAAATGTTCAGTTACCACGGACTCTTAAGCTAAGGAAACAACTAATCTTTGGCGGCCATTTTCTCATTAACTTTACCTTTGAAAACACTTGACCCCCACCTCCTTCATTCGCAAACATCTCGACTTGTATGCAAGATAAATGGATATTTTTGTTCATCGAAAAAAAGACAGGTGAAGAAGCTTTAAGATAATACCAATAACTCTACATGCCCAAAATTTGACGAGAGCCTGATCTCACCACGCTGCCTCATATATAATAACGACCTGAATGTACTCGTGAGCTTCTGTTTTTAACTGTGCTTTATTGTGTTCGTGTGGGGGGGGTGGAGGGCGGGGGAAATAGAGAGGGGAGACAGACAGACAGACAGACAGACAGACAGACAGACAGACAGACAGACAGACAGACAGACAGACAGACAGACAGATATATAGAGACCGCGCAGAAGAGAAGAAGAGGGAGAGAGACGAGGAGAGAGACAGAGAGGCACACAGAGAGTGGGAGACGGGAAGAGAGAGAAAGAGGGGGGAGAGGAGAGAAGCAGAGAGAGAGGGGGGGGGGCTTGCTCTCTCATAAAGGACAGCAAAAGACTGTAAACGATCAGTTAAAAGGACATTCTAATAAACAAGCGATGGAATCTTTCAAATGGAAGAAACCACCAAACGTTGCGGTCGCATCCTGAGATGTCTACCCCTGCAAATGACGTGTTGCATTATTTAAACTGTCCATATGTTTTCCGATTGCTCTGTCAGCGATCTCCATGTCCTGGATTTTCCTGATGGGAACTTTGCGATGCAAATTATAAAACCATGTCTGGAGCCTGAGGGTATGCATGTTGTTGATGATGCTTGGTGGATGAGACATGGGGCGTGTCGTTTGATTGGCCACTCCTTTCTCTCTACCTCTTTCTCTCTCTCTCTCTCTCTCTCTCTCTCTCTCTCTCTCTCTCTCTCTCTCTCTCTTTCTCTTTCTCTTGCTATCTGTATCTGCCTCTCTCCCTCTCTTTCTCTCTCTCTCTCCCTCTCTCTCTCTCTCTCTCTCTCTCTCTCTCTGTCTCTGTCTCTGCCCGTGGGTCTGTCTCTGTCTCTCTCTCTATCTCTATCCCTATCTCTGTTTCTCTGTATCTCTCTC